TGTGTGTGTGTGTGTGTGTGTGTGTGTGTGTGCGCGCGTGCGTGTGCATATGTCTTCAGGTGTCCAGCATTCACCTGCTGCTGCGAAAAAGGGAGGGAAATGGTACGGATCACCCGGAGTGGTTGAGCAATGGGTATCATACATAGACGCCTTTCGAGAAAAAACAAAAGGTGGTCATGGCATATCCCATAAGCAGGAGATTAACGAGACGACAAGCCGGCAGGTATAAGAAAAGAAGTTAAGGAGAGTATAGTTTGTATGGCAGGTCAGTCGCCAACTGTCATTAAAGGTAGATCCACAAATCGGATGCGAAGCTCAAAAGACAGCCATTCAAGAAAGTGTGAGGTAAAGGGATGGGGGGTTGGGGCGCAGAAAGCGAGAGTCAGTCGGGAGAGAGAGAGAGAGAGAGAGAGAGAGAGAGAGAGAGAGAGAGAGAGAGAGAGAGAGAGAGAGAGAGAGAGAGAGAGCGGAGGGAGGGGCTTGGGGGGGGACGGAGGGAGGGAGGTAATTAGGGAGAGGGGGCTAGGTCCTGGAAGATAGAAGAAGGGACTGTACTATTCTAGGGCTCCATCATCCACCACAGTCCATCCACAGAGAATAGGAGCTAGTTCTATCTAGAATCTAGATAGATCAAGGAGTGTGAAGGTTGGAAGTCACTCACCTTATTTATTTGTATATACTATTTAGTATATACCTGTTGTTATTACCCCTCTCTCCCTAGGGGGAGAGGAAGAAAGGAGCAGGCACTGTTGTTATCTTCATGTATATTGGAAATTGATTCGATGTAATCATTTCTTTATTCAGGTTATCATCTGAAAGCTTGCGTTTTTTTTCCTGTTGCAACTTGCAACTTTTTTTTTTCTTTTTTGAAGTCTTTTCTTTTTTCTTTTTTTTTCTTTTTTTTTAATTTTAAAGCTCCAGTGTATTCGTGGGGAGCAGCACGTGCTGGGAAACAGGCCCAGCGTCCCAATTGATTTCAACACACACACACAAGATTTGGGGAATAACAGCATTGATAGCCCTGGGCAAAGCCCAGGGCGCGCGGTTCCATTACCACGTGGATTCACTGTAGGACTCTCACTGACTTATGACATGTGTGATGCTTGTCTCTCCATAGATGTGTTTCATCACGCGGACAGGTAGAGTCGAGTCTTTTGTTTTATTGTGATTTATCTTTTGTATTGTTGTCATCAAATTCCTTTTTTCCTTTTTGTTTTGCAATTGGCTGGAGAGAGAGCCGGCAAGTAGTAGTTCACAGAGTCGGCTAGACTGCTTCGAATCTCTTGGAAGCAAAGAGTAGAACGCAGTCGCATGTTAGTCATGAAATCAGGTGAAAAGGGAAAAAGTAAGCGGAAATAAAATTGTGAGAAAGAAAGGAAAAAACGTCCACATCCATGTGGGCAGGAATGCCCGAAAAAGTAACGATCACCGTACGGGCGGCCTTGTTTTTTATTTTTTATTTTCTTTTTTTTAAGTTTTTTTGGCTTTTTCTGAGGCTTTTTGAAGTGCAAGGGTGCCGACACTTCAGTAAGATAGAATTGAAGTCCGGGTACCATCACATTGCAATACGGCCTGAGGATCAACACAAAACCGCTTTTCAGACCAGGTGCGGTCTGTGCGAGTTTGTGGTGATGCCTTTCGGCCTTTGCAATGCTCTTGGCACCCTTGCACTCGGTCCAGTAAGTCATCGATGCGCGGAAGGGGCTCTTTATTCTTGACAGTGATGGCATTGAGGCCCCTATAGTCAATGCACATCCTCAAGGTTCCCCCCTTCTTCGGTACAAATAAGACAGGGGACCCGTAAGGGGAAACGCTTGGCCGGATCCAACCCTTGTCTATGAGTTCCTTGAGATGTCGACGAAGCTCGTCAAGCTCCGCTAGAGACATCCGATAGATCCTATCCTTTGGAATACTAGACCCTGTTATAATCTCTATCGCGTGGACGACCTCCCTCTCAACAACCCCTTTTGGCTCTTCGAATAGATCAGGGTATTTAGCGACTACTCCCTCTACCTCCGACGACATTTTCACCGGCTCGCCTGCTGCAGAGACATAAACTAAGTACATACCCTCCTCCGGATTTTGCTTATAATAATTATAGAACGCAGCCGCACACATGCATCCGTAGGATTCAATCAGACTACTAGCCTTAAACTTACGTAATTTGGCAGTCCCCCCACCGGGCAAAGTGTGTTTGACCACTTTTCGGTCCCAGTCAAACTGGGGCTATGCAACCGAAAGATTGTACATACCCAACAGGATGTCCATTGGGAGATCATCACTGACTAGGAACAAGACGCGATGTCTCAGTTCCCCTCCCGCGTACGGGAAACAACACTCAACGTCTTTAAGGTAGTCGTTGACTACCATGCGCTGTTTATTGGCACACGTCAACTCCACAGGTCGACTCAGGCGCTGCACTTTCCCCTGTAAGCGCAGCTTCTCAACGCACGCGCGACTAATAAAGTTTTGTGTCGAGGAAGTATCATAATAGGCCCCGGCCTTACGGCCACCGATGACTACATCGTCGACGAACAGCTCACCCTTAGGGGCTTTGGCCATAGCTGTCCCAGAAGCTAGCAGGTCTGATCTAGACCACTCCTCCTCTAGCTCCTCTAAGGACTCGAACACATTCAACGAACAGAGGATCGATGGGTCTGAATGCGTTTGCGGGACGGCACCGGAGTCAGTAGCTTGGGCCATCTCTCGAGATGGTGAGGGTGTGTCCACCGCCTCGACTCTAGGAGGAACAACTACTATTCCTACTGGCTCGGCGTGTTTCCCGGAGCAGTTCCAGAACTACTGGCAACATTGCTACCTACGGAAACGGAGGATCCCGTCGTGTGCCCCATTGTAGGCGGGATCTTTTCGGTCGCCTTTTTGTTACGGCACTTAAACCGATTATGGCCATATTGGCCACAATAGATACAAGTCTGCCAGGTGTACCGGTCTCTCCACACGTCCTCAGTGAGACCCGCTTTCTCCCATGGAGGAGCGTTAGGGTCAACTTGACTCCTAGACCGGGAGCCTCCACGGCGTCTACCGGTCGCCTTGCCTTTTTGAATTGAGGCAGCGACTACTCCACCCCCTGAAGCTTCTACTCTGCCCGCCTCTGCACCTACTCCCTCATGGAAGTTGTCGTCCAACTCAATGGTGGAACCATCGTTGTCAACGAACATAATGCGACCCTTCGCCTTCCAGTTGGGAGGCAGTGTTTTCTTCCTTCCGTCCATAGTGGGTTGGTGCACGTGCCCTATCTTTGCATCCAGGTTTAGGGCCTTCTTGCTAAACGAAGGAAAGTTGTGCATATTGATGTTAGCCTCTCCTGCCAACTGATTCCTGAGTGGCATGGGAAGACACCTCAAGTAAGTGGTCAGTAAGACTTGGGGGTCATAGCGCACTCCAAGAACACAGATCAGACGCTCTACAGCGTTTGTGGCATCCCTTACTGACTTGAACGGTCTGTTGCTCAAAGTCAGGATCGCATCAGTGGCCTTTTGAGCCTCTGTGGATCATGCCACCTATCTTGATAAAGTCCTCCAATTTCTGGTTGACTGCCCAAGCGTGGAAGCTGTGTCCATATCCCTGCAGTTGCACTAGCCCGCTTAACCATCGTGCTGCGCTCCCCTCAAGATAGGAGGCAACCACAAGCACTTCCTCATGTGGCAAGGTCAACTTGCACTTCACGTAGACAAGTACTGACCTCAACCATGTGTGGAGGTCTTCGCCCCTCTTGTCCCTTGAAAAGGGTTTGGGTGAGGCGATGGCCGTCTTTGGAACCCATTGGCCTTGTCTCGGTACCTGCCCCACTCCGGGCTGTGGACCCTAGGGTGCAGGCTGTTGCATTAACTGCTGTTGGGGCTGTGCGCCTAGCGGTTGTGCTGGCTGTGAGACAGCAGGCTGCCCAGTTATTGCAGTCTGCTACGGAGGTTGGGAATACACTGTCTGTACAGGAATCTGTACACTAGGACCTGCTGAGAACCATCCTGTTAAAGGCATTCCTAGGGAAGCGGCCTGTACCGATGCTGGAGGAGTTACAAATGGGGATACCCCAGTCACCAGTGGGACAAAAGGAGGAGGTTGTACCACGGTCCAGGCACCAGGCCCTGATGGTGATGGTGTCGCCTGAGCTCGCGCAACCAGCACAGCCAATCTCTTTTGGATGTCCTGTAAGAGAGCCATTTGGTGATCCTGCATTTCTACTACATCTAGCAAGACCGTCCTCAGGGTCCTCACATCATCATCCACGTTGGTCAGGTCCATCTCCTCTAACTCACTAATGTCCGCTTGTCTCCGCTGCATCCTTGCTCTTCTCCTGATCATTCTCTCTTTTTTTGCCTTTATCTCCCCTAAAGCCTTCTGTAATTGTGCCTCCTGGGCATCTGCTTGTCGTATGGCGACCTCCTCGGGGGTCGACACTAGCGGTTGGCTTGCAATGACGCCAGCGGACTGACTCAGTGTCTGTGCGACCGTTGACCCTATAGTCCATGAACTACTAGTTTGAGAGCTCTGCTGCGCAGCAGTTGCCATGGTTGCCGAAGAAGCGGCCTCACTTGCGAATGCCCTGCTTGCCTTTGCGGCCCTAGCTCTTCGCTGCTGCTGCTGTCTCTCCCTCTGCTGGCGGAACAGGAACTTGTCGCCCTCTGGTCCTAATGCCAAATGGGCTATCGGGGCGCCTTGCTGATTGCAGGATCCTATCGTCCTCTCTAGTGTCCTCCCTGTCGCTCATAAGCTACAGAACTGCACACAGACTGCACTAGGTCACACACTCGATGCCTACCGCAGCGTCATGCACAGACCGATTTAAAATAAATAAATTAATTATCCAGTGGCTATTTCAGAGTCTACACATTCGGGTCAACAGGTAAGTCCAGATTCCTACAAACAAAACTACTTTTACTTAATTAGTACACGAACAGAGAGCAGATTTTTACCTAATGCTGTCTGTCAGATGTCAATGGCAGTCCATCTTGCACACGGCCCGCCCCTGTGCCCCGAGTCCATGATGAGCTGGCCAGCCCTGCACAATGTTTACCCTCGCGTGCGGCGAGCCTTACACAGACCAATTGGCTCATCAGGAGGCGTTTAACAACGGCCCCCGAAGTCCTCAGGAATTATTTAACATCGCAGACAGGACGACGATCACAACCAATGGAAGGTAACCCCGCCGGTGCTTATTTATTAACACCCGGTACTCGTCTCCCTTGTAGGGCTGGCCTGCCCCTCATAACCCATCGATCAGCGCAGCAAGCAGACAAAGGACAAAGCAGCAAAGCATGCGTGCTCTACTCCCGGTGGGTTGGCATGGTGACCGTGACCCAGTGCTTCGTCCAGGGCCCTTCAGATAGCTCCGCCCTCTCCTTCAAGATGCTCCACGTGAACAATGTCGACTCTCAAGGTTGAGCGCGCTCAACTCCTCCCATGAGAGGACTCTCAAGACATAACACGCATCCTCAAGGTAAGAAGTGTCGAAGAGGGTAGATAAGGTTAGGTGCAACGTACTTCAAAATAGCTGCCCCCAACCACAAATATTATCACCAGACGACTTGATGCCAACTGTGATGACTAATCGCTGCTTTGGCACAACCAGCATTACATCGTCGTTCCACCTCAGCATCAATCGCGCATCAAATAGTTCTCATCACACTGCGAACACCCATCATTCACCACGTAGCCTTCCTGGCGACACCCCTCACCTCCTGGGTCGCCCTGCTTGCCTCCGCCCTCCTCACTACACACTCCGTACGGCCGCTCGCCCAGCAGACCGCATGCATGTACTGCATAGGCAAAAGACAAACGCCAAATTAGTGCACCGTACCACAACTCTGATACCAAATTGCAAGGAAAATGAGCGATAGCGAACTTCAGAAACTATGTAGCATCATACACATGAGACCAGATAGTCGTGACCTCGAACCAAAAGTAGAAACACAACACGAGTTCCACCAAATAAGAGCACAGCAAAAGCTCACAAGTGACAATGTTGAAATAGTCTCATGATCACCAACAATGAACCAATGTCGAACATCCTATCTGGCGCCCTGCGCCCAGACTACAAGTGGCAGATCTTATCTAGCCTATCTACAATGTCACTGGTGACGTCAACAACTCCCCGAAGTACGAGCAGATCTCGGCCAATGCCGTTCGCCTCAAGCACCAGGTATGTCTCTCGTATCACTCACAACCTCGATCCCCCACTCACAGATGCCACGTGCACCCAAGGACCACCATGCGCCCCATCCAGCTATGCAGCGCAGCTCGGCTATGGCTGCCTGCCTCTCCTTGCTCGCCCGTGAGCTCGTGAGCCTGGCCAGCGTTTAGCGCAGCATGCAGCCAGTGCCCAAATGAGGAATGGGGGGGCAGGCCCTTTCCTAAATGGAAGCGGCCTGCCTGCTGCGTGCGACCTGGCTGCCCTGGGCCTCGGCCCAAAAGCTTTCGGTAGGCACCGGGAGGTTGAGCCCCAGTTTGGATGAATCAGGCCCAAGGCCTGTGACAGTTACCCGAGCCCAACTGCCCACATTGATGACTTACTGGACCGAGTGCAAGGATGTCGGTACTTCAGTAAGATAGATCTGAAGTCTGGGTACCATCAGATTGCAATATGGCCCGAGGATCAACACAAAAACGCTTTTTAGACCAGGTACAGTGTGTACGAGTTTGTGGTGATGCCTTTCGGTCTTTGCAATGCTCCTGGCACATTTCAGCACGCCATGAATCGGATCTTTCATGACTACTTAGACAAGTTTGTCATTGTGTACTTCGATGACATACTTATCTTCAGTAGGACTGTCGAGGAGCACGTTGGTCACTTAGACAAAGTCCCTAGTCTCCTACAACAGCACCAGATCAAGATCAATGGGGAGAAATGCGAGTTTGGCCGCACCCGGATCTTGTGCCTGGGTCATGAGATTTCCGCGGAGGGATTGAAGCCCGATGACGCGAAGGTGGCCAGCATTCGTGACTGGTCGCGTCCTCAGTTTGTGACTGAGATGAGGTCCTTCCTAGGGATGACCGGCCTCTATCGCAATTTTGTTAAGAACTATAGCATAGTGGCCGCCCCTTTGACGGACCTGACCCGCCTTGACACCCCATGGGAGTGGACAGACAGGTGTGAGGCTGCTTTCAGACATCCGAAGCATGCTCTGACGCACCATGAGGTCTTGAAACTTCCTGATCCTGACAAGCCGTTTATAGTAACCACGGATGCTAGCCAATATGGCATAGGCGCCGTGCTCGCGCAACAGGAGGGGCCAAAGTTGAGGCATGTCGAGTACATGTCCAAAAAGATGCCCTCTCAGAAGTTGGCTAAGTCCACGTATGAGAAGGAGCTCTATGCGATTTATAAAGCGCTAACCCACTGGAGACACTACCTCCTTGGGAGGTTCTTCGACGTTAGGATTGATCATCAGACCCTAAAGTGGATGCGAACCCAGCCAGTGCTCTCAGATGCGTTGAAAAGATGGATCAAAGTCATTGAACAGTATGACTTCGAACCTCAGTACATCAAAGGAGAGTACAATAGAGCTGCTGATGCGCTGTCGCGTAGGCCAGACTTCCTCGATGCGCTGATCACTGAGTTTGGGCTTGCGGATGATGTTACTCGTTCTTTGGTGGAAGCCTATCGCGAGGATCCGTTTATGGCTGAGATCATACGCAGACTCGAGGCGAAGGACAAAGCGACTTCTGTCGAGTTTGAGTTGGTCAATGGCCTGCTGTGCCTTGAGAAGGCCAGGAATAAACGTTTGTGTGTGCCTAATCGGGAGTCGTTGAGTAGTTTATTTTTAGGTGAGTGTCACGATGCCACAAGACATTTTGGTTATAAAAAGACTGCAGCCAACTTGCTGCAGCAGTTCTGGTGGCCCACAATGATGAGAGACGCCAAGCTGTACGTGCAGACTTGTCAGGTATGTCAGAGAGACAAGCCATGTACACAGCACCCTCTTGGGCTTCTCAAGCCCCTTCCGATACCTGAAAGGCCTGGTGAGAGCCTGTCCATGGACTTCATGGATACGCTGGTCACCAGCAAGAGTGGAATGCGATATGTCTATGTCATTGTGGATAGGTTTAGCAAGTATGCTAGGTTAGTCACAATGTCTGCAACAGCCAAGACCGAGTATGTAATCAAGCTGTTCAAAGAGAACTGGGTCAGGGACTTCGGGTTGCCAAAGTCCATCATTAGTGACCGGGATGTGCGATTCGCCAGTGAACTGTGGAAGGCCGCAGCTGCGGAACCAGGGACACAGCTGCAGATGACCTCCGGCAACCACCCAGAGGCAAACGGACAAGCAGAGCATCTGAACTGCGCTGTTCAACACCTGCTGAGGCATTATATCAAGCCCAATCAGGTGGACTGGGATGAGAAACTTGCTCTCATCGCCAGTCTGTATAACAACGTGGTGCACAGTGCAACAGGGGTGAGCCCCAACAGTCTGCTACTGACTTTCAAACCTAGACTGCCCCTGGATTTTCTGTTACCTGAGAATCAGCCTTCTGCTGCACTAGGCACGTTGGAGTTTGCATATCTATACGAGCCCCTGATGCAACAAGCTGTAGAACAGATGCACAGAGCACAGGCAGCGATGATAGAGTCAGAGAACAAACACCGCTGCCCATCCACCTTCCAGGTAGGGGACAGAGTCTGGGTCAAGTCCTCACAACTGGGACAAGAGCACGGGATATCCCGTAAGCGCATGCCACAGTATTTTGGACCCTGGGAGGTTCTAGATATCGTCGGGGATGATCCTGATGGGCCGTCGTATGTAGTTCAGATTCCTGGTCATCTTCGCACTTACCCTGTCTTCCACGCCTCTAAGCTTGCACCTTTCAAGGAAACAGATCAGTTTCCCTCACGGCGCTCAATGCTGCCCCCAACCATGGATGGAGAGGTCGACATCGACAGCATCGTGGACCATATGGAAATGCCAGTGCCAAGACCAACAGGCAGAGGACGTCCTCCTAAACCGAAGCTGCAGTACAGCGTTCGGTTCAGACATCACATTGATCCTAAGGAGGACAGATGGTTTACTCGGGAGGAACTAATGCAGACTGCTCCACAGGCTGTGGCTCATTACGAGAATGGAAAGCGCCAGATTGAGTAATGGAACTTCTCAGAGGACTGTCGAAGTATGGAGGAGGGAATGCGAGGCTCAAGGCCTCGATATGCCCTACTGGGCCCTATTTTCAGTACATTCGGCCGCCCTAAGTGAAGGCAGGCCTGACCAAGGCCTATTTTGGGGTCTCCACGCTACTGGGGGATTCAGACAGTTGCGCAGCGCCAGTTGGTTGAAAGTGCCCAGGCCCTGGCTACGTTTATCGAATGCATCTGAGTCAGGCCCTGGGCGAGATACGCAACATGGACCCAACACAGGCTTTGGTCAGGCCTGCCTTCATTTAGGGCGGCCGACTGTACTGAAAATAGGGCCCAGTAGGGCATATCGAGGCCTTGAGCCTCGCAGAAGTTCTTTCTTATTATTAAAAGTAGTATAAGTCTGGAACTGCAACAAGTACGAAATACGAAAGTCAGGTCGCAACCAGGGCCGACGCGTTTACCCACCCGTGACTGTCCCAGTCCCAATCCCAGGAAAGTCCTATGATGATCTTGTCCCAGGATCCTAATCATTGCCAGCCACGGTCAAGGCAGGCAGGGCCGACGTCACGAGTCTAAGTTTGGAACTGCAACAAGTACCAAAGTCAGGTTGCAACCAGGGCTGTTACTTGTGGCCACCGTGACTGTCCAAGAAGCGCTGCTGCGTTATTGTGCGACTGGGCTACAAGTAAGTACAGACACGAGAGATGGCAGCAGTAGGCAACGGTGCCTGGCACCATAGCTGTTAGGAAGAGTGTGTGTGTGTGTGTGTGTGTGTGTGTGTGTGTGTGTGTGTGTGTGTGTGTGTGTGTGTGTGTGTG